AAGGATTTATGACTGTCCACCACCAACTGCCGAGCTAATGTTGAGCTTCACAGATGGAATTATGCAAACACCATCAATGCCTATGTTTTCAGCAGAGAATTTTGAAATGAAGACACGTGACACAGCCATGCATTTTTATACCGGTTTAGAGTTGTATACTAAATTTTTATTTGTTTTGACCACACTTGGTCCAGCAGCACATTGTTTGAGATACATATATTTTCAAATTGATAGGGTGTCAGTTGAAAATCAGTTTTTTTATGACTTTGATGAAATTGAGGCATTATACAACCAACTTTGAACTTTCTAGATTCTAGATTGAATCTAGTGTTAAGAATATTGTGTATACATGGATTGTTTTTATGTCTAAACAGTGGTGTGAGGCTAACACTTGGCCATCTAGTGGTTTAGTCAGGTATTTTTCACCATCCAACTTCAAATTAAAGTTTCCTACGACTTGGATTATTATTGACAGCACAGAATATCCCGTGATAAAACCTAAAGCTCCTAGAGCTCAGGCAACCTTTTCATCATATAAAAACAGAAACATTGAAAATACTTGTATGTTCGACACCTGGTGGTTTAGTCAACTATGTCTCTAATGCATATGTTGGTTCTACCAGTGACTATGAAAAAGTTGAAAGATGTAGAATAGTTCAATTATGTGATCCAGGTGACAGTGTGATGGCAGACAAAGGTTTAAATGTGCAAGATTTGTTTGCTAACTTTTAAAAAAAAAAGAAACAGAATTAGTTCCAAAACTCTTATACGGGATAGAAAAGTCTCCAATTAACATGTGCACATAGAGCGAATTATTGGACTTGGCAAAACATACAAAATTCTAATAAATCCTATGAATGGAACTGAAACAAAACTTTCATCTGAAATAACATTTAGTTGTACTATGTTGTGTAATTTTAGAACTTGTATTGTGCCAAAGGATGCATAAATAAAAGTGACGCAATGAATTTTGTTCTGATATATATATATTTATAATTACATGCACATGTAGATTGTAATGCATATAAAAATAAGGAGATGTGGTATGATATTCAGTGAGTTTATCGAACTAAAGTGCATAAGAAATGGGTTTAAGCAGTTACAGGTGTTACTGTCACCGTACAATCTCCAACAATGAGAAAAACTTGTACCGTGTAAAACATTTCAGAGATCTTACCACTAAGTTTTGTTGTCTCACCTTGACTTTGGTGAATTGTTTATATCTGTTGATGTAAATATAAAAAAGAAGATGTGGTATGATTGCCAATGAGACAACTCTCCACAAGAGACCAAATGACACAGAAATTAACAGCTATAGGTCACAGTACGGCCTTCAACAATGAACAAAGCCCATACTGCACAGTCAGAGCTCTATAAAAGGCCCCGAAATGACAATGTAAAACAATTTAAACAAGAAAACTAACGGCCTAATTTATGTACAAAAAATGAACGAATATAACAAATATGCAACACATAAACAAACAACAACCACTGAATTACAGGCTCCTGACGTGGGACAGGCACATACATGTACATACAGAATGTGTCGGGGTTAAACATGTAAGGGGGATACCAACCCTCCCCCTAACCTGGGACAGTGGTGTAACAGTACAATATAAGAACGAACTATAAAAATCAGTTGAAAGAGGCTTAACTCATCAGATGGATAAATACAAGTGGACGTGGTCGGGTAGTTGTACATCCAAACAACAAAAAGACACTAAGTACAGATCTGAGAGTACTCAAAGTTACTGACAGCTAGTTCAAAGCCACTAACAACTGATAAAAAAATCTTGCATCTAAGACTAAATTATCAATCCGTAAGCTCCCTTAAGAATTTTATAAATTTTAGATTTTACATTTCTGAGTTATGGGGTTTTATTCATTAAAAAAGGGGGGATTTTCCAGTTTTTGTCGAGCCTGCGACTTTTGTCGCAGAAAGCTCGACATAGGGATAGGGATGTGGCGGCGGCGTTAGCTAACTTCTTAAAAGCTTTATATTTTAGAAGGTGGAAGACCTGGATGCTTCATACTTTGTATATGGATGCCTCATGTTACGAAGTTTCCGTCAGCCACATGTCCAATGTCCTTGACCTCATTTTCATGGTTCAGTGACTACTTGAAAAAAAAGTTAACATTTTTTGTAATGTTAAATTCTCTCTTATTATAAGTAATAGGATAACTATATTTGGTATGTGCGTACCTTGCAAGGTCCTCATGCCTGTCAGACAGTTTTCACTTGACCTCGACCTCATTTCATGGATCAGTGAACAAGGTTAAGTTTTGGTGGTCAAGTCCATATCTCAGATACTATAAGCAATAGGTCAAGTATATTCGGTGTATGGAAGGACTGTAAGGCGTACATGTCCAACTGGCAGGTGTCATCTGACCTTGACCTCATTATCATGGTTCAGTGGTTATAGTACAGTTTTTGTGTTTTGGTCTGTTTTTCTTATACTGTATGCAATAGGTCTACTATATTTGGTGTATGGAATGATTGTAAGGTGTACATGTCTAGCTGGCAGGTCTCATTTGACCTTGACCTCATTTTCATGGTTCAGTGGTCAAAGTTAAGATTTTGAGCTTTGGTCTTTTTTTCTATTACTATATGCAATAGGTCAACTATATTTGGTGTATGGAAATATTTAATGATCTATATGTCAGTTGCGCAGGTTTTATTTGACCTTGACCTCATTTTCACAGTTCATTGCTCAGTGTTAAGTTTTTGTGTTTTGGTCTGTTTTTCTTAAACTATAAGCAATAGGTCAACTATATTTGTTGTATGGAAGAATTGTTAGCTGTACATGCCTGCCTGGCATGGTTCATCTGACCTTGACCTCATTTTCGTGGTTCATTGGTCAATGTTTAGTTTTCTTGGTTAATGTTAAGTTTATGTGACAGTTGTAATAAAGCTTTATATTAAGGACTATCAACATAATATCAGTGATTACTAAAGAAGGCGAGACATTTCAGCGTGTTCACTCTTGTTGGACAACAACTCAAAAATGCTTTAAGCAGTTCGCATGAAACTTTGGTGAATTATTTATAGCTATTGATGTAATCTCCCTATAGATTTTCATAAATTTCAAATATGACATTGAGAAGAAATTGAACTTTATTTGTTTATAGTCTGGCAACAGATTTATTAAGTATTGCGCAACAGCACAGTGTATTGCACAACAGCAAGAAATCTTTAATTGAATATAAATTCAATTCATATAACCGATTTCAAGTTCTTTGACTACATTTATTCAGAAACTATAATATGTCAAATATTTAATTACAATCCAAATTCAGACCTGTATCAAGCTTGAATATTGTGTCCATTTTTGCCCCAACTGTTCAGGGTTGGACCTCTGCGGGTGTATCCAGCTGCGCTCAGCGAATCAGTTTATTTCTTAATTAAGAACTCCTTTTTTCATTCATAAATTACTTTAAACTTGGAAATATAATTTTGCTTGGAGTTATAGTTTCTTAAAAAAGTATTGTCATTGAAAGAGTTGACATGTTGCAATGTACATTTATTCTACATAGTTCTATGGTACCAAATCAAAAGTTTATATAAAAGAAAGAAGTCAAAGGTTTCCCATCATAGTTAAGTTACATACATTTTTTTTGTACCTGAGGTCGTTGAATATAGATCATTATAAAAATAAGGAGATGTGTTATGATTGCCAATGAAACAACTATCATCCATACTTAACAGTAACAAACCACATTTGCAGAGTTGAATAAAATACAGTTGATAACATTTACTTATTACTAAAAAGAAAATGCCTAACTATTTTAAACAGTATTTGAATATCAATTATATGGTCATTTTTATAAACTTCCTGTTACAAAACTTTGAATTTTTCGAAAAACTAAGGATTTTCTTATCCAAGGAATAGATAACCTTAGCCGTATTTGGCACAACTTTTTGGAATTTTGGGTCCTCAATGCTCTTCAACTTTGTACTTGTTTGGCTTTATAACTATTTTGATCTGAGCGTCACTGATGAGTCTTATGTAGACGAAACGTGCGTCTGGCGTATTAAATTATAATCCTGGTACCTTTGATAACTAATTTGACTATAAACATAGATAAAAAAGGTACAAACTGGACATAATGCACTAGTTCATAAACAAGTGAGAACAATCACCTTCATATAGTGCTCAGATTATGACATTCATATAACTTGTTCAATATCATTAGAGAACTCTAAATCTTAAATACTGAAAGCCACCTCTGATAAGTACACAGTACTATGCAAGATAATGATATAACTGGACTAAAAATACACACAACCTGTAATTAACTGCCTTTACAGCGCTTTCGCGCTTTGATTTTTATTTTATTACGATATATCCGTAAAAGTGTTTGAATATGACTGATAATAATTTTTCACTAGTTTAATCTGGCATGAAATTATTTTGCATTATACTATTAAGTGACTAATCTAGTGAGTACACTTGCAGGCATGCATATTACATAGGTAATAAAGCACAAGTCTCAAATGAATATAACTTGATTTTTCAAACAGAATTGTTGAAAGTTTTTGCTGAAAAGTTATTAAATGATGAAATATCTTGTCTTTGAATAGAACTTTGTTATAATATTAGCATATTAGTTCTGAGCATGATCACTCCATTCTCCTGTTAGGTGTTTGAACACAAGTAAAAAGTTATTAGGGACATAAGCCACTTCCCTTCAGACAAGTGTAATATGTTAACTATTACTTGTCCTATTAATGTTTCTTTGGCACCAAAAATTGGACACACATTATTGTTTCCTGAGTTCGATTCGATAATCATAAAAAACTGAAATGAGGAACCAGTTATTTTATCAAATGTGTCAGACTTTCCAGTTACATATTGATATTTGATAGGATTAAATGTAGAACTAATGACATCATGAATTAAGGTATCCTTTAAAAATTGATTTTCAATACAGAATATTTGTTTTTATAAATTTGTTGATCTGATAATTTATTTCCTTTTGTAATATTATTTATTTCACAGGAACAGAATCTATACATGATTTCTCTTCTCAAGAAGTTAAAGAATTCCGAGAACTATTGGTGAAATGGTACAGTGAAAATAAAAGAGATTTACCATGGAGAAGACAGGTATTAGGAATTGTTTTAAGCTTTTAAATTGTGATAAATAATCAAATTGAAACTGTTCTATTTAAAATAAGGAGATGTGGTATGATTGCAATGGTACAGCATTCAAAAATGACCAAAACCCATAACCAGGGGTTCAAATAAGCAGTGGTCTGAGGTTCGTGACCTTCGATTTACAGGTTTGGACCTTCCCAACGGTAAATAGTTACACCCGGCGGACTTTCAAATTTTTGCAGGTTACAAAAGCATTTTGAAAAAAAATATAAATCTAGTATAAAAATGATTTTTGAAATAAGCAACTTTATTAAAAGGAAACTTACGTGTTTGCTTAATTTCTTAACAATTGATTTAATGTATATTCATTTGACCGGTCGTCGTACAAGACACTGGGAAACTCATGAATGTAATACATGTATTAAAACATAAATAGTAAACGATATGAGTCTGTTTGGTTTTGAGATTTCCTCTTCCTAAAAAAACCTAATAAAATGGGTGATACAGCGGGGTGATTGATGAAACGGTTTAACACAGCCCGAAAGACGGGATCTGACTAAAGACCAAAAATATGAAAGAGAAAATCAAGAATGTAAAAGGAAAGTGCCCTGGTCCGTTTGACAAAAAACTTAAAACTTGAGCCCTTAAAAAGTCATGATGTAAAATTACCCCTCAGCATCTATATATCTTGCTTAAAAAAGTGGTTAAAAGAAACTGACCCCAAGTTTGAAAATGTAGTCCAGCTGTTATTTGACACAAATTTAGTCCAGTGTGTTCTTACGCAGCAATTGAAACCAAAACAATTAAAAAGGTACAAAGTGTTATTTAACATAGCTTATAGTGTTGGGGGAAAAGGAGAAGCCTTTTTCTGTCTGAATTTATTTAAGAAATTCTGAAAAAAAAAGATGAGGTTAATGTGGTAAGATATGGTGAGTGCTCTGGAATGGTAAGCATTTTCTGTTTTTATAAATTGAATTTTCAATAAAAATTGGACCTTCTAAGAATAAAGGAGGACCTTTAAGTATTTTTGGTCAAAGGTCCTGGACCTTCCATTGCCCTAAGTAAATTTGAACCCCTGCATAACACATAGCAAGCCACAAAAGGTCCTGACATAACCAATAACATGTAAAACAATTCGAAAGAGAAAAAAAACTGGCTGATTTATGTACAAAACAACAAACAAAATACATATATGACATACAGTAACAAACAACCACTGAATTACAGGCTCTTGACTTGGGACATGCACATACATAACGGGCAGGGTTACAGATATTAGACCCACCCTCTTACCTGGAACCTCGGTGCAACAGCATAAAACATGAACAAACTATACAAAACAATAAACAATAAAATGAAAAATAACCACTCAAACACAGGCTCCTGACTTGGTGCTTAAACATATAGACTGTGGCAGGGTTCAACATGTTTGTGGGTGCCCAACCCTCCCATAACCTGGGACATTGGTGTAACAGCACACAATAAGAAAAAACTATAAAAATCTGTTGAAAGGGCTTGACTCATCAGAAAGATACAAAGCAAAATAAACAACTAACAAAAACACCAAAAATACAAAGTACAGAACTGAGCGTACTATCAGTTACTGAAAGCTAGTTCCAAGCCAATATATCGAGTTACAGGGAATTTCAAATTTTAAAGGATAGTTGTTTACTTTGAATATTAAATGTATAGTGGGATTTCCGAAATAAAAGTTATTGCATCACACATGAAGTTAATTTCTAACAGAAACTTATTTCCTTTGACAAAATTGCAACAACATCTTTTCTGACCTTCTCTGTGAACTTTAACATGCAGTTGCATTTTGGTAGATAATGCTGAATCCAAAATTGTATGAAGCTGCATTGATTTCAATTATTTTAAGTTATTTATTTTTTAGATTACCAATCCTGATGTTAACCAGAGAGCATATGCAGGTAATTTTTAAGGTGATCTTGAATCTTAAATGATTGATTGCATTAGTTGGTAACTGCATGAAGTCTTCCTGAATGAATATTGATTGACAACAATGATTGATATTAACAGTTTTTGTTAATTCAACCAAAACTAATTGCACTCAAAATATCAGCTAGAATTTGTAGACGATGTTGTGCAAAGTATACCCCACTTGTTTAAGACATTGACAAAAATGCCATTTTAAGTGGGTACAATAAAAGTTACCAAGAAGCAGGAGGGGACAACACAACATATTTGTAAATTGCTTCATGGTACAAATGTAAATCTAAACCATATATTAAGTTGTTTTCTATCATCGTTGTTGTACAACAGCTGAAAGTCGTTATGAACAATTGTGTTATTATTGGTAGTATAAATAATTTATCATGTTGTTTTGTGTGTACTATTTTAAGACTAACTCATTTGATTTATAAATGCATAATGGTCTTTCACTTAACACTTAAAAGGGCATTAGCTACAAGATATGAAAAAAAATGAAATATGATTTTTTTGTTCAATCATTAATGCAAGTGAAATAGTTAATAAAATAAATAATAATCCGCTTTTAGCAGCCAGTTTGGTTGAATTTTGTCAAAATAAGCTAAGAAACATCGCTGATGAATTATTCGTTGCAATTGATCATGAATAATTTGACCTCATTGACACCGTATTCATGTGACCTTCAATTTAGCCCCTTAGCTAGAGATGGGTTATGCTTAAACTAGGCTTGTTCAGCTATTAAAAGTTAAATAATGTCAACATTGAAAGTGAAACAAATGTAAACCATTTGGTTGACTGATTTGATCCATAAAAACTCATTCTTGTACAAGTAAAAATGATGATAAACATATTTTATTAACATACGATATGAAATCAAACAAACCTAGAAAAGTCCAATTGCATGTGTTCGCTATCTATCTATATCTATATTTATGTTTATATCTGGTTATATGTTCATCTGCAGTCTTCGGAGGAGGTCACCTCAATGGTTAATTAGATGGCGTCTAAACTAAAATACACACGAAATGCAGATACATATTATCGAGTCAATGCATTGTAAATTGTTTATTTTAGACTTTTTATAATTTGGATATACGTTTAAGTATGTTATAAATCAAATATGAGAATCTGAGTCAAATCACTGAACATGAATTTGACAGCTAATGCCCCTTTAATTATGTTATCACAATGATAGTAATTTTGTAAGACTGTTTATTATGTATTTCAGTTTGGGTATCTGAGGTGATGTTACAGCAGACACAAGTTGCCACGGTGATAAGTTATTACAACAAATGGATGCAGGTTTGTTAATGTTATCCATATAAATAAGGATTAACATTTGGTACTTATTTCTGTCCAGAATATAACGACTTATTCATTGCCCCTTGAGTCATATGTTAAAATTTTAAATATTAAGCTTGTATATATGGTCATACCACCTAAAGTTCAACTTATATCTGAGCTATATTCTATGAAAATTACATCATTGTTGATCTGAAGCTAAAGACAAAGGCAAACATTTAATTGCATATAGATAAAAAAAGGAGTTGTGGTATGATTGCAGATGAGAAGACTATTGACCAAAGATTTGTTCAATATTAGGTCATTGCAATGCCTTCAACAATGAGAAAAAACCATACCATATGATACAGGGACTTATATTGCCTACCATATATGGTATGGGTTTTTGGCTTATTGTTGAAGGCCCTAAGGTAATCTTGAAGGCAGAGCCGGTTCATCATACAAGCACAATATTAAGCTGTGTTCATGGTAAGCTAACACAAGAACTATTGCACATGAATTTCATCGAAAACTACAACCAGAGATTTATATTTTATTTTTTGTCGAGCCTACAACTTTTGTCGCAGAAAGCTCGACATAGGGATAGTGATCCGGCGGCGTTAGCTAACTTCTTAAAAGCTTTATATTTTAGAAGCTAAAAGACTTGGATGCTTCATACTTTGTATATAGATGCCTTATGTTACGAAGTTTCGGTCTGTCATATGTCCATTGTCCTTGACCTCATTTTCATGGTTCAGTGACTACTTGAAAAAAAAGTCAACATTTTTTGTAATGTTAATTTCTTTCTTATGATGAGTAATAGGATAACTATATTTAGTATATGCAGTGTTCCAGCTAGCATGAAATGGAGGGGCGCCGCGCCCCTCCCCCGAAATTTTGCGCCCTCTGCCTTTTTAAGCGCCCCTCTGCCCTTCTGATGCGCCCCTCTGTGCCCTTTTGAAAAAAGTTTAAAAAACGATCTTTTTTCCTCATATCGTCGCCATTTTGTTGAGTTCTTTATACACACACTTCATTAAGACAACAGATTAAAATTGTTGACACTTGTTACCTGTATATAATCACCTATTTGATTAGAGTCAATTACTTAATCAGGTGAAATTTACGACCCTGTCTAATCCCTTTGCCCTGAAGTACCAAACATCCAAGTTAAATGAATTGATTTTTTAACACCTGAAGATGCAATATAGAATTTATAAAATAAATGTGAACGATGTTCATTTCTATCGTATTTGTTATTTATAAAATAACGTTCATTAAAAAAGAATCATTCCAATAGTATATCGTAAATCATCAACACGCAAAATGCCGACGAAAAAATGAAAAATTGACCGACTCGAAAATGAAAATAAGCAAAGACTTGCCAGTCTATTACATCTTTTTTCAAGAATAATGACCATCAAAGGTAAAAAAATAATTTAATTCTTTACTTTTATGAAAAATCGAGAAGAAGAAAGGTTTCTATCAGATATCGCAATTGTTCTTCTATTGTAAATTCCGCCGATTACGGAGCACTCGAAAGTCCGATTTTTATATCATTTTTCTTAAATTGAAATCCGTTTTGACTAACTTAATATTGATATTATTAGATACGCTCAACATGAAATATACGGAGATGCTTGTTGAATTGATAATAAACTTTCAAAGTTGAATTAATTTATTATTGTGCCGATTACGGAGCTCTCGAAAGTCCGATTTTTGTATCAATTTTCTTATTGAAATCCGTTTTGACAAACTTATTGATATTATTAGATACGCTCAACATGAAATATACGGAGATGCTTGTGTGGAGAAAACTGTCAATTTGTTGACAACAAGAAAGACCCAGAATGGCCCATGGCTTCAAAAAGAGGAACATTTAAGAAGCACATGTAACATTACTGACCCACCCCCAGTAGATTTCGACACTAAAGTCAGAGAGTGCTTTCTCAATGGATTAATTGAAAATATAACAGTTAGATTTATGGATGCTGACACAATCGATCAGTTGGCCATTTTAGACCTTACAGGAACAGACAACATTGAAACAATGTATGGTTTTACAGAGATAGAAGCTCTGGCAAATACATTTGACATGGACCCTGAAACTCTCCTTATTCAATGGCAGGAATTTATAGCTCTTGTGTCATCAGCAGAACTTACAGATCGTTCCTTACCTAGTCTGCTAGAGCTATTTCATTCACCTTGTCATAAGGATAAAAACCTATTATCTTGTTGCAAAACTATTCAGTGTTGCAATAATACAACCACTCAGTACAGCAGAGGTGGAGAGAATATTCTCTCAGGTCAAATTGATAAAGACAAGTCACAGGGCAAACTTGAAAACACAGACATTAACAAAAATATTAACTGTAAAATTAAACTGTGATGAAACTAAATTTGAAAAAATTCTTGATCAATGTGTGACAACCTTCTTCAAAAAGAAAAACAGAAGACTTGTCAATGTTGTTTAATATTTATTTGCATTTGAACTCTTATTTGAAAAAATCTGTAGTTCTGAAAGAGAAATGAATATAGTAATGACTATTAGTGCTCTCAGTTTGATTTTAACTTATATGTTTTAAATAAATGATTTTTAAACTGGTATATAATAGTATAGAGTATTTAACTTAGCTACATGCTTGCTAAAAATAGGTCATTATGTGGTAATATTAAGTATTTGAATTTTTTCAGTGAGAACGCGCTAAAGTGCCCTTTTTTAAAAACGCGCCCCTCTATTTTCAAATCCTAGCTGGAACACTGATATGCGTACCTTGCAAGGTCCTCATGCCCGTCAGACAATTTTTATTTGACCTCGACCTCATTTCATGGATCATTGAACAAGGTTAAGTTTTCATGGTCAAGTCCATATATCAGATACTATAATCAGTAGGTCTACTATATTTGGTATATGGAATGATTGTAAGGTGTACATGTCCAACTGGTAGGTGTCATCTGACCTTGACCTCATTTTCATGGTTCAGTGGTCAAAGTTAATTTTTTGAGTTTTGGTCTTTTTTGCTCACCGGGGCCTGATGGGCCCCATGTGAGCTTATGCCATCACTTGGCGTCCGTCGTCTGTCGTCGTAAACTATTTCAAAAATCTTCTCCTCTGAAACTACTGGGCCAAATACCTTCAAACTTTAAGTAAATGTTCCTTAGGGTATCTTGTTTATAAATTGTATCCGAAGTTTTGATCCATCGACAAACAATGCCGCCATGGCTAAAAATAGAACATAGGGGTCAAAAGCAGTTTTTGGCTTATATCTCAAAAACTAAAGCTTTTAGAGCAAATCTGACATGGGGTAAAATTTTTTTAATTGGTCAAGATCTATCTGCCCTCAAATTTTCAGACGAATCGAACAACCCATTATTGGGTTGCTGCCACCGAATTGGTAGTTTTAACAAAATTTTGCAGTTTTTTGTTATTATTTTGAATATTATTATAGATATATATAAACTGTAAGCAGCAATAATGTTCAGCAAAGTAAGATCTACTAAAAAGTTAATATGACCATAATTGTCAATTGACCCCTTAAGGAGTTATTGCCCTTTAAGACAATTTTACACAATTTGTTCATCAAGTTTGCTAACATTTAAAAATCTTCTCTGAAATACAGGTGAGCGATTCAGGCTCTTGAGAGCCTCTTGTTTTCTAATACTATATGCAATAGGTCAACTATATTTGGTGTATGGAAATATTTTATGATGTACATGTCAGTCTCGCAGGTTTTAGTTGACCTTGACCTCATTTTCATGGTTCATTTCTCAGTGTTAAGTTTTGTGTTTTGGTCTGTTTTTCAACTATAAGCAATAGATCAACTATATTTGTTGTATGGAAGGATTGTAAGGTGAATAGGTCTGTCTGGCAGGTATCATCTGACCTTGACCTCATTTTCATGGTTCATTGGTCATGCTAAGTTTTCATGATTAAGTTTGTTTCTAAGATACTATAAGCAATAGGTCAACTATATTTAATGCATAAATTGATTGTAAGGTGTACATGTCTGTCTGGCATGGTTCATCTGACCTTGACCTCATTTTCATGGTTCATTGGTCAATGTTAAGTTTTCTTGGTTAAGACTGTTTCTTAGAAACTATAAGCAATAGGTCAACTATGTTTGAATGATTGTAAGGTGTACATGTATTTCTCGTTTGGTATATATGACCTTGACCTCATTTTCTTGGATCATGTTAAGTTTATGTGTTACTTGTAGTAAAGCTTTATATTTAGGACTATCAACATAAAATCAATGGTTAGTAAAGAAGGCAAGACATTACAGCGTGTGCACTCTTGTTATCTATTTTTTTCAGAAATGGCCAACACTTCAAGATTTATCCAAAGCAAGTTTAGAGGTATGTCTTATTATGAAGGTAGAACTGTCATATTTTTTGTTATGTGAGGTAGTTAACTTATAATATACTAGCATGGTTAGCAAATTGTTTTATTTATTTAAAAAAGGAAAGAGGCTTTAAATTTGAAAAGATTTTTTATTTGCAACATGTAAAAAAAAAATAAAGAAAAAAAAATTATTATAAGAAGTAAATCTAAAAAGAAAATGAAAAAGTGAAGTTTAAAAAAAATCAGATTTACAAAAAATGTACATTCCTTTCATTTCAAACATTTGAAGGTATTCATCAATATTTTTGCATAAATAAAATATCAGTCCTATATGTTTCTTTATGTTTTAATGCATCCATAATGAAAGAAGAATAAAACACTTTTTAAAGTTTATAAAGACGTGAAATCTCTGCAATGATATCAAACATCATTGATTTCAACAAGACTGGTTGGGAGACATACGTCATACCTTTGGTCATCTAAGGTTTTACTTTTTTTGCATGGTTTTCATTTATTACTCTTTGTTGTGTATTTTTAGGAAGTCAATGAAGCCTGGTCAGGTTTAGGGTACTACTCACGAGGAAGGAGATTGCATGAAGGTGCTCAAAAGGTAAGACTTAATAATCACCATTAACACTATATGAACATATATCAGGAATATAAAGTGTAGTACTGTAATGACTTGGCCAGGATAAATTCCTTTGAAAAACATGTGTTTGTACTTTCAAGCACCTGCTTTCGGCTACGAGTCGATTTTTCGGTTATTTTAAAGTTTGACACAGGTTCTCACCTTTCAAATTCAATTCATTATGCTTTCAGTGTTCTATTCATTCCGTTTTCCCAGTGTTCAACCATTTTTATTTATGTATAATCGAGATAACTTATGTAGCTAACTTTCACTTTCATACATCAACCCCTATTTCCGGCACAGTGATTTTTGTGTATTGATTATGGGGTTACACTAAAGACCTGAAAGTGGACCTGAAAAGACCTGAATAGACCTGAAGATATACGACTCAAATTATTCAAATTACAATAACTTCTTTATTTTTCAATGGATTTTCTTCAAGTTAGAATTTTGTTAAAGGTAAAGAACCACACTTTACTAGAAATAAAATGTTTTAAAAAAAAACAAATTGTTGATGCCAAAACCTGGACCTGAACGAGAAATGAAAAGACCTGAACGGACCTGAAAATCTATGCTCAGACTTATTCAAACTTCAATAACTTTTTAAACATGTCAAATATTCAATGAATTTCCTTCAACTTTAGATTTTGTAAAATAAAAATATATAACATTTTATTAAAATTAAAAATTAAATAATAAGAAATATGTTTTGCGTGCCAAAACTCGGACCTGAACGGAGAATTAAAAATCTGAATGGTCCTGAAATTCCACTAATATATTGTTTTTCAAAATGAAAAAAAAAAAAAAAAATTAACGAAAAATATTATTTTGGTGAAAAGTCTTGGACCTGAATAAACCTGAAAATAGATTTTTGAAGGCCGTACGGTGACCTATATAATAGTTGTTAACTTCTAAGAGGTTCTATGTCATTTGGTCTCTTGTGGAGATTTGTTCCATTGGGATCAAACCACATCTTCTTTTTTTACTAATATTTTATCAAAAGAAAAACAAATATCAAAACTGACGGGAGATACCAATAGGATAATCAAAACTCCCATGTCAAAACTTATAAGTCAAAGAGACAGGAGATGCCAAAGGATACCATAGACATGAATAAACCTAAAAAAGGGTTGACACCTTCAAACTAGGATAACCCCTCCACATTCTGTATGTGCCTGTCCCAAGCCAGGAGCCTGTAATTCAGTAGTTGTCGTTTGTTGCTGAATATCATCTTTGTATATCTTATTTTTTTTCATTCATTATTTTTACATAAATCAGGCCGTTAGTTTTCTCGTTTGAATTTCATTTGTCATTTCGGGGCATTTGATAGCTGACTATGCAGTATGGGTTTTGCTCATTGTCTCATTGGCAATCATACCACATATTCTTATTTTTATATTCATATTGTATGTTTGTGACAAAACTTGGACCTGAATGGAAAATGAAAAGACCTGAATGGACCTGGATATATATAGTTAATTCAACATAGCTTTTAAAACATTAGCATTTTCATTCAAGAAGAGTCAAAAGTAAGTCATTTACACATTATTACATAATTATACAATATTAAAACACATTACACTTAACAATGAAAACACCAAACAATTATATTATAGAACAATTAAGCTAATTAATTATCATGTAATCACGCATATATACAAAATGATAATTTCAATCTAAAAAGTTTAATCCTTTAATTTCATCAATTTTCTTCGTAAATTATTATTCAGACTAATGATACAATTATCACCTAATATCAATACAAGGTGTGAATTACAGCCGGCACACGTTCCTGTAATTAAAACGTTCCAATTAAAGAACACGCGTCTTGAAGACAATCCTTTGAAAAATAAAAAAGTAATCGTATTTTGAAAAAATCGAGTAGTATAGCTTCAGGTCTATTCAGGTCTTTTCAGATCCACATTCAGGTCTTTAGTGTAACCCTTCATTATTCAAATTAGGTTGACTGTGTGTAACCTCAGGTGAACTTTATGTACCACAACCGCAAAACAGTGTATGAATACTATAGCGATTGTAGATCGGTTTTTACATGATTATTGTATTAAAACAGTATTAATTATGATTGTTAATTGTACTAAGATGATTTTTATGTTCAGTAAACATATTGTTTACGTTTTATTGTACTTATTTCTAGCAATCGGGGATTCTTTTTCTTACTTGTCAGGCCCGTTTCCAGTTCCCCGTTCGTTTCCCTGTTTAAACTGTTCGTTGCCCTGTTAAGTCCATCAGAGTATAAAAAGCTTGCACCCGTTTGCCAGGGCCTCTTCCTCCTAAGTTAGACCTACAGATACGTTGCCAGATTTTCGGAAAGCGAAATTTTTCAACAATTATGTCAAATGCTAGAGGTCAAGAAAACCTGTACTAGTTCTCGTAACCCCAAAGGAAATGGTCAATGTGAACGTGTACACAGAACCATACTGCAGATGTTGCGTGCATATTTAAAAGGGAACCAGTCAGACTGGGATAAACATATTGGTTGTTAAATGGCTGCTTACAGATCAAGTGCAAATGAATCTACAGGTCTTACCCCTAACATGATGATGCTTGGACGTGAAGTCAAGACCCCCTTAAATCTAATTTTTGGATATAACCAACCTGAGGAGATAAGTGCCTCTTTTGGAGACTATGTTTCCAAATTAAGGCACAGAATCCAGTTAGCACATGAAATTTGTAGACGTTTCATGTTGAAAACTGCCAAAAGAAGAAAAGACCATTATGATATTAGATTGTCCCTAAACTGTTATAAACCTATAGATCCAGTTTGGCTACTCAATGAAATAAGGAAAGAAGGAATTTGCCAGAAATTGAAACCTCAGTGTCTATATTGGGCCCGGTATTATTTTTAAGAAAATGAACAGTTTAAATTACTGTATTCAGCTTGACAAAGAAGGACCAGTCAAAGTGGTTAACCATGATAAGTTGAAACCCTACCAGGGGAACCAGTATCCAGAATGGTGCACCAATGCTGTCAGAATTTACAAACGCCAGAATAAATAATTGTCATTTTGATGCTATAAAGATTGATTGTAACCAAGTTTTACATTAAATATATGTATCCAGCTAATTGTTACACAGTGAACAAGATTACCTATCTAAGCCAGTCTTCCAAATTTAAGATCTCCTTGATGTTAGTCACAGATAGTGGTTCTTCACCTCTCATATTCCTTGGCCAACCATCGTCCTATAGTTAATAATCCAGTAACTGCCAGCTGTGTTCAACCAGAACTTAAAAGTTTTATTTGACATTTGTCTTATCATTCTCTCTCCTATCTTTCAGCACCATGGATTATGACAGAGGAAGGGTATATCAATGTACTAAATGCTGTTTTGCCGTGGAGAAGAGGGCAGCCATTTAGCATTACACTTGTTAACATTTTGGTGTGGATGAACATATGTTCTCTTGCGAGCAATGTAATTTTTCAACAGACAATAAACAACTGATGAAGAGGCATCCATCCTTTTACGCTCCACATAGTACGGCAAGACTTTTTGCCACTGAGCAAGTAATATACCAGGGCAGTGACGAGGTCTATTTAAAAGTTAATCCCAATCCAAAGCAGGTTGATCCTGAATTACACCTTTCCAAGTGGGAACAGGAGGCCTCTGTGTTGTTCTGGAACACAAAGAAAAAACCCAAGCCCTCAGCCGCAGCTGGATCTGCACAGCAACTTATCTCTTCAATCAATTTTCCCGTTTTGCAGTCTGCTCTTACATCCTATTTTGAAACTAACCCTGTCTACAATACTTCACCTTTGAACTTGCCATCTGTACCATCCACAACTGAACTACAACCAACTGGTGCCATGTTTACTGAAACTGAGATCTCCACTGAGCTTGTGGATACGAGAGTGGTGGTGGCTGAGGAGTCTGACCTAGCCGACCAGATCATACATCTCTCCGACCCTCCAGCCATGCCATCGCCGCTTAAATGTGCAATAAGCTCAGTCCCGAGACCATCACTACCAGATTTTGTCCTGCCGTCTCCTGATGATGAGGAGGAAAACTTGATGCCCCAGTTACTTGGTTTAAGTCGGGTTCTATCTCCACCTGAACCTCCTGTTGAAAAGATTTCGTCCGTACAAGATTATACTCATTCTCTACAGTCGGCTTTCAAGCAACTGATCACTGCTGTAAATAAAGGTAATAAATATCTTGAGACAATGAACAAACAACTGTTCAAAAACCACGACATGTTAGAAAAAGTGGAAATTGCAGTAAGGAGAAGTAACATTGTAAAACCTAGGTCGCCCGTAAGAACCCGTTTTCCAGCCAATACCTTTAGACGTCCCCGTTTGCCTCTGAAGAGGAAGTTCATCCCCGAGAGAACCGTTTCCCCGTCCAAAAAAGTGAAGTCGTGCATAAGAAGTCCCCTAAAGAAGAAGACCAGTGGTAACAGAAAGTGGTAGACATTAATACCCTTTATATGTAATGTAAATTGTTACGATTTTTCCTTTTAAATTGTAGTTATTTATATACAGGTAAATGTTATAATAAAGTTGCAATGGTATAATTACTGAGGTCTTCCAGTAATGTTTACAATTTTAGCACTAGCATATATCTAGTACTATGTAGTTTAAAGGTCAAAATTTAAACTTTTCAAAATTTTTATGGAATATATGGAATCTTTGACCTTATATTCTAATTCCCAAATGTTAATATTAAGAATTTTATTGGTTAACTTTTACAGGATGAGACATTCTGAAAATGTAAGTCCTGCCCCGGGTGGTTTTTTAATTTAGACATTGGTGTATTTAGTCTTTAAGTGACAGTCATTGTTGCTTTTTATTAGCAATATGTTTATTGCTAATAGTTGTGAATCAAATTTTTATGAGGTATAAGGAATCCTTGGCCTTATACCTTAAATCCAGTATTGTAGTGGCTAAATTACAATTTGATGGTTAATTTTTGCAGGATGAGACATTCTGAAAATGTAAGTCCTCAGATGGGTAGATTTTGAATTG